GGCAAAAAATATCCGCCAAGGTGGGGTGGCCGAACTCAACAAAATTATTTCACTGAATTCATTACTATTTAAGTCCTGTTTTAACTCTTCGTTGGCTGTTTCTGGTATCCAAGGGCAGACGCTTAGTTTTTCGCTTGTAATTTCTGGAACGTTGATTTAGAGAATTTGTCCTCGAGCGCTCTTAGTTTTTCTGACCGCTTCTAGGAATGCTAAAAACTCAGGGTGGTTTGTACCGACTTTTTAGAGTCTTGGAAAAGTGACCGGGTTTGTTTCGAGGAAGCGGAGAAATTAAGCGAAATAGGGAAGCATCGAAAATCTACACTGTCTGGGGTCGTTTTAAGGAAGCACCATAAACGATATATAAGCATTTTGTTTCCAAAATAGGGTTGGTTAAGGCACCGGGGAATACCCTTTGATAAACATGCAGGAGCCCACGTGAATTTCCTGCCGGCCAATAAAAGACCGGCGAAGTAGGGACGGCAAAAATAGTCAGGTAAGGCGATTCACAGAAGAAATCTAAACGAAGGCCTACGAATATCCTCCCACACGGGAACAGAGCAGGAATCGTGGTAGCATGATTTTGTAGCTATTTGATAACGTGAGGCAAGTTTTCTGGTATAGTGTAACAAACGAGCACCGTTCATCACTCGAGGACACCAGGCAGATGCGCTATTCATTTGATACAAAAAAGCACTTCACACAACACAGTGCGACCTAATCCCTGCATTCTCCAAAAAACTAGCTTTCCACGGCACCCGACATAACGGATAGTCGACTTCTCTCGAGGGTGCCTCTACGAGCTTATTGTGGAAATGCAGCAATCTGAATAACTGTCAACAAGCAGCAGCGCGCTTCAGGAATCAATACAGGTTTGCACATAATCCGGTAAATCTGGAAGATCAGAACCCAGAGCCAAGGTTTTACGGATGGCTGAAAATTGTATTGCTGCATTCAGAAGGAGGGTGTAAAACTCATATAAAGTTACCATGCAGGCAGAGCATAGTAAAGTCATCTGTATCGCTCGCTGCCTAGAACTAGCCTGCCGGCCACTTCGATTAGTGCAGCACCAGTATGGGCAAAACCTACATGCATCAAACCCCAGGGGAGTGGAATGATGTTATAAAAGCGCTAATTTTTAAACACAAAAGGGTGCAAACGCAAGCTCAAAATGCCCATGGACTGAGGAGTATTATTGCGTTCCTAACATCTTCCAGGGAGGCAGATATGTGGAATAGATCCTCGAAGGTTTTGAAGCGGCACCCAATTCTATGGCTTTCTCGCGTTTGCTTGACGAACTCTTGTAGGATGACTCAAAGATATAAAAGTGTGAGACGAAACAGTGAGACAAATTTCCAGTTTTTGTAATAATCTACCACCAAGTTCGACCGTAAGTTGCATACCGCAAACTTCTCCGAGGCCCCAGTTCGAACGGAGGAAATTCCAACATAATTTTTCAGCATTAAAGTGTATTCTTTCAAGTCTCAGAGTCTTTTACCGCGGTCGCAGTTTTGCTAGACTTTGTTTCAGCGTATTCAAGTTTTCGTTTGTGCTCGAAAATTTATATCTTCATGGCTCTTGATGGCGTGATAAGTTTATTTCCTCAAGTTTCTTCCCCAATAATTACGCCGTTTTTCTCGCGCAACCACAAAATGGCACAGCATAGGGAAATGCTCCACATCCTTGCAACATTCGTCCTGCTAGACAGAGCCAAGTATTACACACGGCTATTAGTTTGTTGGTTTTGACCGACGCACGCTATACAGCATTATGTTATTTTACGGAAACAGTCGGATAGCGATTGAACTACGAGCAGGCCATCGGTGTAAGTACGGCAGTCGCAGTACCGTCACAACGACAATATACTTGGATTCGAATCAGCTTTGCACAAACTGTAGCATTTCCGCAATTATGAATTGACTTTAGAGTTAGTCTGATGCTTTTACACGTTTTAGTGACTTGTTGCTCAAAGCATTTTGTTTGAAAAGGCAAAATTTTAAGGTCACTGAATACCGTCGATTCGAACGTGATCACTTGTAACGCAGTTGAAACTCGACTGTATCTGAATGCACGTTTATCACATGAGCTTATGTGTCTCCCCCCTCTCTCTCCCGATTGCAGGTACCATGGTCGAACTACCACGAGCCCCGGATAAGAAAGAGTACCCGCTTGTACACCCACTACTGACATTGACCTAGCTTTTGTACTCCCGACTTCCGGTTTCGGTTTCGGTTGAATACACGTGTGTCATCACCACGCTCCGGTGTTCTCTTCTGACGCGCCCGACTTGTGCGCATGTGTGCTGTGTATACCGTGTGAACTCATTAATACCAGTCCGTATATCTGCACATTTCAGAACCGACGTGTACCGTCGCTACATCCTCTCGAACATCGAATACCGCTGACTTCCTGACGTCCCACGCTTGAGGTGCTTGAGGTGGGATAAAAAAGAAAAACAAAGCAGAAATGGATCAGAAAGACGAGTGGTTATTACGTGACGTAATTATTTGTTTTCCTATTCCTCAGGCTAGTTCATCACCCTTCTGTGACAGCTCAAGTTTCAAGACTGAACCGTTCTATCTTATACAAAGCTGACTCTCCCTCAACCATTTCTATAGACGATTCGTTACCATTTATTTTTGGACTTGTTGTTGAAATTTCGTCCCACTTTGAACTGAAGAACAATGTTCCCGCTTAACTTGTCCGATAGCACTCTGCCCCTCGTGTGCCATCCTGTGTTACTAACTGCCCAAGGTTCAATCTAGCCGTGGGCCTTTCTTTAATTTCCTCACGATTTAATGTTAATTTCCTATAGAACCACGGTCTACCTATCTGTAAAGTCTGCCCAAGTCCGATTCAATATATTGTTCACTGCCCAGTTGCGACTACCGAACAAACGCAGGTGAAGTTCGTAGAATTCGGCTTCGCCGCAATTATTACTGACCGCGCGTTGATGAATTAGACTACATGTTACCTGTCAGATAGGACACCTAGATCGTGCGTTTAGGCTAAGTAACCTATTCCTTGCTTTGAGATCACGGCCTTAGCACAGGATTGTACAACGTGTTTGTATCTCCCGTCGTACTATATGCACAGAAAACATCAAATTCCCCTATTTCTCCCGACTGAAACGTCCCCGTTCTGCATCCGCCCAATGTCTTCTGCCCCGGTGACGATTTCACCATATGGTCTTTTAGAGCCCGTTCCTACCTCAAAGCAGTACCAGTTTCCCAGTACAGACAGTATCTGCTCAGTCTACTTGACGACTCTGGAGCACGACAACTGCTGTCAACCGGTACCCCAATCGAAGCGCCACCAGCCGGTGCTTGAGGTGGGATAAAAAAGAAAAACAAAGCAGAAATGGATCAGAAAGACGAGTGGTTATTACGTGACGTAATTATTTGTTTTCCTATTCCTCAGGCTAGTTCATCACCCTTCTGTGACAGCTCAAGTTTCAAGACTGAACCGTTCTATCTTATACAAAGCTGACTCTCCCTCAACCATTTCTATAGACGATTTGTTTACATTTATCCATGGACTTGTTGAAATTTTGTCCCACTTTGAACTGAAGAACAATGTTCCCGCTTAACTTGTCCGATAGCACTCTGCCCCTCGTGTGCCATCCTGTGTTACTAACTGCCCAAGGTTCAATCTAGCCGTGGGCCTTTCTTTAATTTCCTCACGATTTAATGTTAATTTCCTATAGAACCACGGTCTACCTATCTGTAAAGTCTGCCCAAGTCCGATTCAATATATTGTTCACTGCCCAATTGCGACTACCGAACAAACGCAGGTGAAGTTCGTAGAATTCGGCTTCGCCGCAATTATTACTGACCGCGCGTTGATGAATTAGACTACATGTTACCTGTCAGATAGGACACCTAGATCGTGCGTTTAGGCTAAGTAACCTATTCCTTGCTTTGAGATCACGGCCTTAGCACAGGATTGTACAACGTGTTTGTATCTCCCGTCGTACTATATGCACAGAAAACATCAAATTCCCCTATTTCTCCCGACTGAAACGTCCCCGTTCTGCATCCGCCCAATGTCTTCTGCCCCGGTGACGATTTCACCATATGGTCTTTTAGAGCCCGTTCCTACCTCAAAGCAGTACCAGTTTCCTAGTACAGACAGTATCTGCTCAGTCTACTTGACGACTCTGGAGCACGACAACTGCTGTCAACCGGTACCCCAATCGAAGCGCCACCAGCCACCCTGTGGGCGATCTTGGACGACCTCTTCAGCATCATGCTGCTAGCTCTGCCCCAGTTAGAGAGGTTCAGAGAACGAAAGCAATTACCCGGCGAGTCCGTGGACCAGTTCCCGGGGAGCCTCAGGGATCTCGCAACAAATATTTACGTGGTGGAAGACAGAATAAAGATCGAGGGTGAGTTACTAGAACAGTTCTTCCTGGGGGTATCTCACCCTGGCCTGAAGGCAGAACTTATCCGTCGTTCTCCGGACAATATACGTGACGCAGTCCAACTTGCCCGCAGTTAGGACGCGACGTCAGAGCTGGAACCACAACTTCATGCCTTGAAGATAACCGCCGATCCTGGTCCTCGTCAGCTACCAACTGATAACAGGAATAATCGGCCGGGAAGCCGGATGAACTGCCCCTACTGCCGCCGGTTCGGGAGAAGAGCCCAGCGTTGCGGTCACAATCCCCCAATCCGTCCCGCCGGTGAGCCTCTATCTTTTTTTTTAATTCGGTACCTATTATTTCTCATATTTCCCATTCTACGCCACCACTCACAATCTCAGGTTTCCTAGACAAACGCCAAGTACGTTTCTTGGTGGACACGGGCGCCTCGTGCTCCGTAGTCGGTGCACGAAGGTTTTGGCCAGGTGGTCGTCAGTCGGCAGTCAGCACGAAATTAATAACAGCGAATGGTACACCGCTCTAAACAGCGGAAAAAGCGTTACTTTCTGTCAGCGTCGGGCAACTGTGCACGCACCACCAGTTCTATTGCCCATCGGTGACATGGAAAGCCATCCTTGAGATGGACTTCTTAAAGAAACTCAAGGCTTCTATCGACTTCAACAGTGGACAAATCACGTTCGACAACCGCTGCTGTAGCGACCCAGTCACCCACATACTTGACTGTTCAACTCACAGTCGCTCACTGGATCGCGAGGCTTGTCTTTTTCTCATAAGCACAAACACGTCGCTTTAAGCTGACACATCGGACATCGATTGTCTGCACCGCCTAGTCAGCGCAGCAACCACTCATGTGCCGACGCGCCCACATACACGCACTGGGACCTACGTAAAGCCAAACCAAACCCAATCAAGACACACGGACTCGCGCGCGCGCAGGGAGCAGGACATCAACCTCTCCACAAGTCCACGAACAACCATGGAGTACGCGTAGCAGTCTAACTGCGAAGAAAAACACGTAACCGCCGTCCGGACTTCCACCAAGGGACTCTCGCACCCGATAAGTTCCCTTTTTGACCTGCTCCCATTTTCGCACTGTATTTACTTTTATACGTGTCACAGAAATACTAAAAACTTTTATTAGTGCACATTCACCTTCTGATTTGTATTATGACTATCATCACCTCTGCGCTAATACTGCCTACCAAACCCTGAGTCCCTGTCGCCTGCACAACACAGCAATCGTTGGACGCAGTCCTTCGTTGACCGTAGCCCTGCTCCTCCGGAGGCGAAGCACGGCCTAATGGAACTATTAAATGAATTCTCCAATTCGTTTGACACCCACGGATCTAAACTGGGCCGTACCCATATCCTCCAACATACTATCGATACTGGACACCACCACACTATATATCAAACCCCTCGCAGAATCCCTATCCACTACCGGGCCAAACTGGACGCCATGATTCAAGAGATGTTAGGCGACGGGATCAGTCGGCCGTCATCATCCCCATAGGCTTCCCCCATTTTCCTTGCAAAGAAGAAGGACGTAAATTTACGCATGTGCGTTGACTATCGGAGATTAAATGATATCACTACACGCGACTCTTTTCCCCTATCACGAGTGGACGACACAATCGATGTTGTGGTTCTAACCACTAGACTTGGCTTCAGAATACTGGCAATTAGAAGTCGCAACCCAAGACCGACCGAAAACAGACTTTGTAATTCTGTATGGAATTTATGAGTTCGAAACAATGCCATTCGGACTTGCAAACCCACGAGCAACATTTTAGCGGCTTATGCAGACGGTATTGGCAGGACTGGTTCCTGGATGTTGCCCGATCTACCTGGACGACATCATTGTTCACGGCCGTACAATCGACGAACACAACAGTCGACTGCGAGAGGTTCTACGCCGCTTGAAGGGAGCTGGCCTAACACTCCGCGCCGAGAAATGTAGGCTTTTACAACGTGAGGTATTGTTCTTGGGCCATATTTTGTCTTCAGATGGGATCCAAACGGACCCGGATAAGACCGAACACATCGCTGAGTGGCCGACACCGACAAATGTGCGTGGGTGACGTAGCTTCCTCGTTCTGGCATCATATTACCGGAGATATATCAAGTGATTTGCCGCCGTCAGTGCACCACTCTACAGGCTTACCCAAAACGATCGGAAATTTTGGTGGACCGTAGAGTGTGATGAAGCCTTCAGCCACCTTAAGTAAGCACTAACATCCCCACCAATTTTGGCATGCCCGGACTTCTCACCCGATGCAGGAAAGTTTGTTTTAGATACCTGTAGAATACTTCGACGTATTCATGAGAGCCCACTTGAGTGACGCGCAAAATCACTAGCAAGAAGTTGTGGATTCTTGAGATTAATCAAAAGATGCGGTACTACATGTATAAAGTACGTAATAAAAGTGGTACAAACCTCAAATTATGATGGTTTCCGTCTAAACTGATGCACGAAGCGGTGCAAGTCCAAAAGAAAGCCCGGAGAAGATAGCAAACCAATCTTAGTTTGCGACGCACGCCTGGGTACAACACGTGGTAATGCAAATAGGTCAAAAAGCCCGCCTAGAGAATGGCCGACCAAGCTGGTCCGGCCAACCAAGGGCTAAAGTGCTTGAGGGGTTTAAAAATGTAAATAGAATCACTGGAATAGATGTAGCAGACAGCAGCAGATAAGAGAAGAGTTTGACTGAGGGGAAGAAAGTACACCACCCCACTAAAGCCAGCTTGGCTCTCCTAAACCAACCTCACTCAGCATTGGACACTAGGGACCGTGGGAGGCAAAAATGGTACGATTGACTTTAGCCACAATCACCTCCCACAGTCTTTCATGTCCCCTACGGTGACCGAGCTCCTATGTCTCACCCACTCCCTCTAGCATGCATATCTTCCGTATATCTCTGGCTACTGGACCATCGGGAGTCTTGAACACGACCGTCCTCACACACCCATCCGATCCAGGTATAATGGCCGTTACCAGTCCTTTCGACCAGGTACCGCGCGTGTGTTGCTCTCCAAGTATCAATACCAGATCACCCACTTTTATGTTTCTTCTGAGAGACGTCCGTTTATGTCTTGCTTGAAGTAGTGGAAGGTATTCTCTTAGCCAGCGCCGCCAAAACGTGTTGGCCATCGGTTGACTCTGTCTCCACTGCCAAGTATATCGGTGCCGTAGTCCTTGGTCTTCGTCAATAGGGACGAATGATGCTTGTGGTAGCAGTAGATGGTTCGGGGTCAGTACCTCAATGTTATCAGGATCATCTAGCACAGGATCCAATGGGCGATTGTTCAGTATTCGTTCTACTTCCGTTAGGTATGTTATCAGCAATTCTTCTGTTAACACCCGTTCCCGAGAAACTGCGCTTAGAACGAATCGATCGCATCATCCTCTCCCAGATGCCACCTCGGTGGATAGCATAAGGAGGATTAAAGTGCCAGTCAACTTGTCGTCGTAACATATCGTCCTCCACCTTGTTGCAATTCAACGTCTTCAAAAGTTGTTTCAACTGCGCTTCTGCTCCAACAAAATTAGTGCCTCTATCACTGTACACCTCCTTTGGAGTTCTTCGTCGATTGATGAATCTAGAGAACGCCATGAGAAATGAATCAATGGATAGAGAATAAGCCACTTCTAAATGTATCGCACGGGTCTGTAAACATGTAAAGATACAGCCATACCGCTTCCTCGTAATACGGCCTTCGCGAGTTTGAAACGGTCCGAAGTAGTCAACACCTGTCGTTGCAAAGGGGTATTCTGGCCTTACTCGGGCAACTGTGAGATCCACCATTAATTGTTCGGCTGGAAAAACTGACCTTACTTTGCATCCCATGTATCTCCTGGTGATTCGCTTGACGGCTGTGGTAGCACCTAAGATCCAATACAGTTATGGTATAGCTGCTAGAGTATGTGAAGTTTCCATATGACCTTCAGTTTCATGATGATCATGAATTATGCCTCGCGTTACGGGGTGATCTCCTGGGAGGATTATAGGGTGCTTTGCGGATTCTGGCAGAGTGCTATTGCCCAGTCGACCACCCACACATATCTGGTCATTGAGAATGATTGGACGTAATTTGTAAACCGGCGATTTCTTATATAGCCCTTTACATGGCCATAAGTTGTACTAAGCTCCGAGGGAAAAGTTTTCAGCTGAACATACCGCAATATCGACCGTTCTGCTTCGTTCAGTTCGTCGGGCCTTAGGGTATTTCTAAGTTCCATATCCTTACCAACTCTTTTACTGCGGAGGTAAGATCTGTTCCTGGTGAACCAAGCTGCCGCTCGCCGTAGCCTCAACCATGAGGAATGGTATGAGAGCAGCACATCCGTTGGAAGGTCAGGTACCGCGTTAACTAAAACTGTGACGGCTTTCTTCAACTCTAGGTTTGTGGGCTTATGATGAAGTTGTTCGATGTCAGTCTTGGGCCAATGCTGCTCACCGAGCTTCAGGAACTCAGGTCCTTGAATCCAAAGCCTCAATAGCTGAGAATGTTTTGTACGGATACCAGGTCAGGCACAGTCGGCAGGACTCATGTTGGTCGGGACAAGTCCCCATTGGGAAGTGTTTGTATTCTCATGTATGAAGCTAATTAGGTTGGCCACAAAGGTCTTAAACCTCAGACTTGTGCCAGGAATATAGTGCAACACAGTCATTGAGTCTGTCCAAAAATATATGTTGTCGAATCGGACTTCGAGTTGCTTCACCAGATGGCGCATTAGTCTAACCGCTAATACGGCGGCCTGAAGTCCAAGGCGTGGGATAGTAACTGACTTGAGGGGTGCCACTCTTGCTTTTCCCACTAGAAAGCTACAGTGAACTTGTCGTAGCGACTCACATCTCAGGTAAGCTACGGCTCCATAACCAACCTCGGATGTGTCAGAGAAAATGTGCAACGACTAATGTTCGACAACAAACCTTTTGGGTTTGACACATCTGGGAATGGCTAATGACTCGACAATTTGGATGCCATTTCTCCACTTTTTCCAAGCATCCTGAATACCTTGATTAACTTCTTTGTCCCCGCCACAGTTTGATCGACAAGGCACTTGTAGCAATTAATAATAATAATAATATTTATTCCCAACTAGTGGNTTGACCAGCGAGTCAGTGAATCTAGGTTTGCTTAATCTGATGAAAGGCGAGAGTTTTGCAGAGGTGGGGAATGTGTACGCGATTTTCATATCGTCCGCGAAGAGGAAGACCTTACCGTGGGATATGGCGCCGTAGACGTCATTGATGTAAAGTAAGAAAAGAATGGGGCCCAGCATACTTCCTTGGATGACCCCGCTAGTGATCGGGTCCGCGAAGAGACCTTACCGTGTGATATGGCGCCGTAGACGTCATTGATGTAAAGTAAGAAAAGAATGGGGCCCAGCATACTTCCTTGGTTGGATCCGCTAGTGATCGGTAGTGGAGATGATTGTATGTCCCCGATCTGCGTTATTTGCCTCCTGTCTGACAAATAGGAGGAAACTACTGAAATAAGGTTCACCCGATGCCAACGGTGCTAAGTTTGTGTAGCAGGGAGGCGTGGGGTCCTGGTCGAAGGCTTTTTGGATGTCCAGATAGACTGTTACCATGGCTTATCCAGCGTCGCAAGCTGCTGTGACGGTCTCAAAGAAGTGAAGCTGGCAGCCATTTACGGATCTCTGAGATAGGAATCCATGCTGTCGATCATCTATGGCGTTTGTAGCTAGGAGAAACCTGATTAACGGGCCTTTTACAAGACGTTCGAGGGTTCGCATTAAAAGAGGAGTATGGTGGATCCCTCTGTAATTTGAAGCAATTTGCCTGGATCCGGATTTAAAATGGGGGCGAACAACAGATTGTTTCCATTGAGAGGGGACGATTCTAGAGTTGACTGAGTGAGTAAAAAAGATTTAGACAAGGGTTTTGACATCTTGACCGCCAAATCTCAGGAAACGCGATGGTATGCCGTTGCCTTCCGGCACGGCGGAGTCTCCGGGGGTTTGAAGAAGGGCTGATACATCAGCTAGGGAGATGGTCAAGCTGCTCAGAGGCGGGCGGTTTCTCTGTTGTAGACAGGTGGAATATGAGGCGGAGATT